TAGATTGTGTTTTGGCATCATAAAAATACTTTTTTCAATAATAAGACAACAGAAAATCCAGTTCACTCACTGTACAACACTCATTTTAATGTGGTAAGTATTATCAATTCAGACGATGATTAAAATCAATATATTCATATACTCTTAGTGCTGATTATATTCCGTTTGCCCGTATGTTTCAATACTGGACATTTTTTGTTTCTTACCTTTGATTAGTGACAATAAATATCTTCTCAGTTTACTTGTGCTGAAGATAAGAATACATGGATTAGAAGAAAATCCAAACAATATAAGTATTGTACCCATTTGTTCAATCGGAGTACCATAAGTGTAGACCACAACTTCACATATGATTAATATTTGAATTATGCATTCAAACGAGTGTAATATAGCTTGTTGACATGACATTATTGCTGTCGTAATCACTAACTGAATCACTGTACGTTTAATTTGCAAACTAGACTCCACATTTTGTGATGAATCACTATGACGAGATGATTGAGATTTCTTAATAATATGTATGACCCATGCATGACTGATCAACATGACTAAAACTGGCACAAAGTACTCAAACACAACCCAGGAGTATACAATGTAACTAAGAAATGTTGTCGTTTGAATCCAGGGGAATGAAAAATCCATAACACATTGGCTATCAGTGTAACGACGAAGAAGTGGTGTTGGTATGTACAAAATTAAAAACATACTGAGCATGTAAAGAAAGTATAATAGGAAAAATCTATTCGTGTACGTTTTGAATGATCCAAGAAATAGGACAGAACTCACTCGATCCAATGATATACAAACTAGATTTTGCACACTCATGATACAAAATAACCAGAAGGATGCATTTCGAAACCATAAGTGGCATATCAGGATATCGATAATGTACAAGCCAGTGTGTTTGTTATAGATATTGGTGGATTGAATTATATAATGAACAGCTGCTGAGAAACATGCACCGAAGTCAAGTACAGATTGAGTTCTTAGTAAGAATAAAGTGAATTTAGAACCTATGGTCACTTTAAAAATAACAACTATCGCAACCATATTGAATAGTGTACCAATTATTCCTTCAATTATAACAATAATCCGGATAGGTAAAGTAACGTAAACAGTTTCATTCATTGTTCAGTTCTCTTCTTTTGATTTACTGTGAAATGAAATTCAAAATAGGATTTCTGACAATTGTATATATATATATATATATATATATATATATATATATATATATATATATATATTTAGCCAATCAAATCTTGGTCGAAATGGTTCATTGAATATTTTTAGGGAAGAAAATGTTTATACCCAAAATCATTTGGAAAATAAGTATGAATATTAATTGGTTTTGTCTTCATTGTATTTTAGTGGTAAGTAACAAACACCTCAATAATTATATGCAAGTCTAAGCATTAATTTCCGTGAAACATGGAGTGTTTCAAGATATGAGACTATTACGTAGTTAATCTACTGATCTAAATGAAAATCTGTCTCCGTATCGATAGCATACATCTAAGTTTTTATTCTTAATTATTCCCTTTAAATGATGGATTTAGAGTTCTTATGGTAATGAGCGGACATATATATATATCATGAGTCGAGTCATCATTAGTATCTTTAGTTTATGTATAATAACCTTGGTAACAGTACTAAGCTGTTGAGCTGCATTTTCTTTTACAACTTGTGTATCCTTTCTTGAAATTGATTTATAATGACATAAGTGTACAGACCTGGTGTTATTCGGCTGTATTACTAAACTCGTTTATAGTATTCAGCTTCTCATCCATAGAGTAAAACAGAGTGAACGTCTGAGTAGTAAACTTGGAGACTGTATTTCTGACAGATTGCATTTGTAAACTTAATGCTAGAAAATGAGTTTAGATAAGTCACTAAAGTCAATTTGATATCAGACTAAGTTTGATCCCGAATATCATTTTTTTAAATTTTACATAAATTCCTTTGGTTTCCTTAAACAATTTCTAGGTAGCTTGCTTCCGACCATTTCGATGCAAATTTCTTATTGTTCTTGAGTGTTATGTAATATTCAACAGATAGTTTTGTTAGTTTGATTTCGTCCTCTGGTTTATTCGATAGGCTGTTTTGATGAATGGGTCACTCTGACAAACTCCCTTAGTTTTTTAATTAACTAAGAATAAATTTCCATCTTATTTTGCTTATTTTTGATAAACTTAAGAATGAATATCATTAAATTATTTTACTCCATAAGAAGTACTATTTTCTTATAAAGATTGATAGAATATTCCTGTCTCTTAACTAGTCTGTGGTAGCATAACTTATCCAGATAATTCCATTTTAACATTAGTTCAATGACCTCTTTAAATTTTAACATAACATTTAACATAGTGTATTTTAAATTTCAAGTGTTTTCATTGTCTGTCTACCTAAATCTCTGATATTTCAAGCTCTCTTTAAATGATTCTGTCATTCTCCACAACGCGTCTAGCGCTCTATATCTTTCCAGTGGGTTCTGCTTGAAATAAAAAAATGGGAATATACCAATTATCAGAAGGGCTTCTGTGGAGATTTTAGAAACTTTACTGGTTGAAATCATGAGTCAATTGAAGCTAGATCACCATGGGAAACTTGGAAGCACTGGACGGCTGTTTCGTCGTAGTATGAGAAGCCGTTAATAAGAAGCCGTTACCAGTGGAGTTCAACCAGGTCTGTTGTGAGATATCAACTCACTGAAGACGATGATGTACGGCGGCGCAACTTCGTGGATTGGTTGAAGTTAGACATTAACGCCGTTGGACGCTGGCTCAGTGGCCTAATGATTAAGAGCTCGCGCGCGAGACTGATAGTCCTGGGGTCGAATCCTGCGGGGAGCGAGATCGTGGATACGCACTGCTGAGGAGTCCCGTACTAGAAAGAAGTGGCCGTCCAGTGCTTCCAGGTTTTTTTATGGTAGTCTAGCTTCAAATGACTCATGATTTCAACCAGTGAAGTATAGCAATTATTGAAATGATGGGATTAAAAAACGAAATTTCATTAGTTTACTTATTGTGAATTTTTATTTAACATTACTTCTGTTTTAACTCAATGTAATGATTAGTATTTGTTTTGTTTTTCAGTATGGTATTCTATTCGGTATAACATTCATCTATTTGAGTGTAATTTTTATTCAAGTCAAGATACTATATTCTTGTATTACATTGACGTGACATGCAACATTTGATTTGTTATAATTCTGGGTACTTTTCATATATGTGATTTCATCTTAACTAATAATCAGAATGAGTGTACAAATCAATAAATATATGACGTGTATTTTTGACTAGGACTGTCGTGTTTTGGGTTTAATAAATCTTCACTTGTACCAATCTTGGCGCTCTTATCTCGGGTCGTGGAAATTACAATGATCCCTCGTTCTACGAGTGTAAGTAATAAGCGATTCCAATATAACAGTTAGCGACGACCAGAAATGACAATTAAAACAGAGTGTCTAATCATTTAATATCAACGAAGAAGTTTCAATGACATTCATTTTAAGAGATGGGATGGTTATAAATAGGGATGAAAATTCAGTTTGCCTCATCTATTTGTTTATTCACTTATCTGAAACAGCTTAGTTCAATAGATAATCAATAATCTCAATGCCGGTCCCTCTTTTATAATAGGGCAAGAAACAATACATAAAAAATATGGATTATGAAAACAGAAACTTATCAACTATCAGCTCTTAACAATTAACTAACTAGATTATCAAAATCATAGCTCCATAATTTAAATGAAATCTACTATGTAACTTATATTACAAGGATAACTACTTAACAATATTAAGTAACATGAGAATAATTCCAAAAATGAAGTATCCGTAAATCGCCTTATCTAAGCAAAATAATCAACACTTTTTCAAGTGTCTTTGTTTTTTTCAAAGAAAAGAAAGCTAAATAGCTAAATCTCATCACTACTACACGCCCTAATCTATCCATTTTCTAAAATAACTTATTACGCTGGAATCAAATAGAATATTAATAGCGAAGAACAGAAACGTGTTTATCTACAGGACAAAATCAGCCGTCATAGTAAGGAGGATAAAACTTGAGAATTACAATAATTGGATCGTTAAAAACCGTATAATAAATATGAAATAATTGATTTACCAAGTATAAATGTATTTGTTTGAAAAGTACTGTATATGTTTTGGCTATTCAAACTTATATGACTGCAGCGAAAATGGATTTGAGATTTCTTATTTGAAAGATGAATAATTCTTTTTATAATTGGACATTAAATCACTGACATATTTATGATCATTTTCCTGATTATATATGACAGTATACCTGTATAAGATATTCTTGATTGAAGGTATTTTCAAAATCAATACATAAATTCACATGAAAGAGAAAAGAATGGAATAAAATAAAGATTCGTTCATCACGTTGAAATAACAAAGATATAAATATAATAAAACACTTGAAAATGATATATACATATACATATACAATCAGTATTTAAGGTTTTCAGTCATAAATTTTGTTTGTTTTTTGTTTGCTTTTCATTAACATACAACATCAATCATTGATTGACAATCATTCTTGTTGCTATCTTATAAAATAAATATTCAGTTCGTTGATTAAAAAAGATATTTTCACAGGGGTTGTTTATTTTCCGAATCAATTCTGATAAATAAATTTGGTAGTCATTACAATGTATATATATAAGGTTCTATTTATGGATTTATTGCGATATAAATGTATCTATGTAACTTGGTTAGGAATTGGTACAAACTCATAGTCAGAAATCTCAAAATTTCAGTATACATCAGTATTGAGTTAAATTAATGAATGGGTATTAATAGAAGAAAATATATTTGACGAATAAAATAGCATATGGTTTTATCGTTGTTAATAATGATAGTCATTGTACAGATCAGTATCATTTATTGTACCAAATATTTGTCTTGTTGCTATTATAATCTATAACATTAATTGTAACCGATCTTAAACATACTGATAAATCGATATTTAGTGAATTGATCAACTTGAAGATCTATCCTTTTTTCCAGTAATACTCATCTTTTCTGTAAAAACTCTTATTGATATCGATAAACGTCTTCTTATGGTAGCTGTAGTAAGTATAAGTACACATGGATTTAAAACACAACCTAATAATATTAATATAGGACCTAAATGTCCAGTTATTGATTGATAGTTATAAACCATAATTTTATTTGCAATTAATATTTGACGTATAGACTCATATGAATGCAGTAATGCGAGTTGACCTGATAAAATTGCTGTCGTTATAACTAACTGACTTATTTTACGCCTAATATATGAAGTTGATTCATTTTTACGAGATATACAAGTATGGCGAGATGAATGAAATTTTCTAATAATATGTATTACCCATATATGACTGATTAACATCACTAGAACTGGTATAAAATAAGCGAACATAATCCATGAATATACCATAATATCAAGAAATAAACTTGTTTCAACCCAAGTGAATGTAAAATCCATTTCACAATGATCACTCATATAACGACGAAGTATCGGTGCCGGCATATATAGAAATAATGACATTAAAATCATATAAGCGAAATATGTAACCGTAAATTGACATGAATGTGTTTTATATAATCTAGGAAATATAACAGAGCTCACTCGATCCACTGATATGCAAACTAAATTTTGTACACTAAATGTACATGATAACCAAAAGTAGGCATTTCTAAACCATGTATGACATATTACTAAATCAATTATGTATAATCCTGTCAGTTCGTTATAACGGTCAGTACATTGAATTATATAATAGATAGCTGTAAAAAAACATGCACAAAAATCAAATATTGGTTGAGCTCTCAACATACATGTAGTTAATTTAGAGCCGAATTGAGTTTTGAAAACAATAATTATCGCTGCACTATTGAATATTGTACCAAGTAGACCTTCTATGATAACAGTAATACGTATAGGTAAATTAACAATCACATTCGGAGCCATAGTCTTTCTTTTTACAAATAACAATTTGTGTTTCTTTTATTAAAATAAGAAATAAGCATTTCTTTTTATATTGTAAATTAAGAACATTTTCATTGAATGTACTTGTCAAGTTGTTGTAATGTGTAGAAGGAGAAAAAACAAACAATTGTTAATGTTAATAATGTTTACTTCTTTTTCTTCAAATGAAAAACATCTATGTTATACTATTTTACAACCAATCGAAATGAAGTGAAATATTATATTATTAAAAGTATTACAATTATTATTATCATTATTGTTATTATTAAATCATTTAGCATTGTCTAGGCAACACTAATCTGTCAATATTTCTATAAAAACAGTGGTTCTTATCTATGTTGTAATTTCAGATAGTTTCATCAAATTATTTGGGCGTGTGAAAATCATTCCTTTTATTTATTTACTGATCTGTTTGTTTGTTTGTGAAATAAATAATAGTTACTTAGTGAAGTTAATTGGTTTGTTTATTCTCTTCTACCACTTGTCAATCTTAATTTATATATTTTTCTCATAATCGAATAAAAGATGGTTACTTTTCTTGTTATAAAGAGCTTATAATTCATCAAGTAAAAAAAGAACTTTTCCAGTAAACTTTCTATTTAGATTTGGCTTATCATTTAAGTCTAAGTGATAAATATATGGTAAATGTAATTCAGTAAACAAATACCAGTTTATGCATTAAACTGTAACTAGCACTTATTATCTATAAAAGCGAAAGTCTGAAGTTTCTTAGAGATTAGTTAGTTAGATTAAAGTAGTTGATCAAGGTTTTAAACTTGAAACACCATGGTTAAAAAGTTGCATGGCTCAAATGTTTAGTTAACCTTACAAAAACTAAATAAGTCAGTTAATATGATGGACGATTTGTTAGTCCAAATGTTAAACCTTAATTTCATAGACTGTTAAATGATCAACAAAACAAATATCTAACAGTCATTATTGTTTCCATTGGTAACTACTACTATCTATTTTTAGTATTATATATTTGTATAGGTTATTTCAGTGTAGGAAACAACTATGTTTACTACCCAGTTCTTCTGTCTTCACTGGAGGACTTCGTGTTATGAATTCGCTTATCGTAAAAAGTCTTCAAAAAACTATACTATTTACAACGGTTCAGACGACCAATCAATATGCAGCTTCCCATTAATTTATGTATTTTAAAATCGGATTGTTATTGTTGTATATTCTGACTGATATACTAGTAAGTCTGTTTTAGATACTGAAAAAATTTGTGGATGAGTAAAAATTTTTAAAGGGATTACAGACTTACATAGTTATTTGGTGAAATGTGAATACCATACGTTCACTAGTCCATTTGCAAAATGTCCATCAATTGTCTTAGACTTTGTTGTCCCTTCATTTCCATACTAATTACTCTCTGTTCCCATTCTCTTCTATTCGATCTTCTCAACTTTCTGTTGCCAGGCATTCCACTTTCTATTGATGTTACATACTACTTATATCTGTCAACATAATTAGCACACATCACAACCAGATATCCACTTTCTTTGCACTTAAAGGATCGTTTACTTGATTGTAAATTAATTCTAAATGAAGTTTGGCTGTATTCAATTAAGCCCTTTTAGCTTTTGATCAAATATTATATCCTATGATATTTTCACTTGAAAATAATTTTACCACAACAGTTATCCAAATAGTAAATAAGAACTTTCGTCTAAATTTGAACGAATAGTTTTACAATATTTGGGCGCCGAGTTGTTTTCTTAACATACACAGACCGAATACAATATATAGTTGAATGAAATTTCTCACATCACTTACGTATACACACCATCTGTCATCTTAACACTTGTTTCACACTACATGTCTCTTACACACTAATGTAAATACCTACTTCAAACATTGTTCACGTTGATTGGATGACTTATTCAGTATACAGTAAACCAGAGAACCATGTACCTATTTATATTCGATAATTTTGTTGTTTGATTATATTTTCTTGATAAAGCTTGGATCAGATTGCCAGGTGAAACGTTGGATTTACTTCAAATTTTTTCGCTGAGATTTTACAAATACATTCTTCCTCTTTAGTTATTCAAATAGGATCAGAAAAACAAATTTCTCAAGTTACCCTAGACCAGTGAATAATAAATGATGATAAACTGGATAAAACTCAGAATTAGTAAAAGGCATATTATTGGTGTGGAACTTCTTTAACATTTAGGTCTTATAAAGTGCAAATGGACGGTATATTCTGAGTTTATGATGTGTTATTTATGCAGCAACTGACCAAGAGAAGTAATTTTTAAAACTAACAAATTACTGAGTTATAGCATACGTCAATTTCTTCTATTCGTTAGAAATTAATTATCAGTATAGGGTTGTGAAGATTAGGCAGTTTTTGATTGAGATCATGAACTGATTGATGTTAGACCACCATTGAAAACCTGGAAGCACTGGACGGTCGTTTCGTCCAATTGTGGGACTCCTCAGCCATAAGCTCATAAGTATACAGCCCAGAGGGTATGCGGCTAGTAAAATATTAACTCAGAGATTACGCAGAACAATCCGAAAATCACTCAACAACGCACCCATTGTTGACACCGAGAATAAGATATGAGTCGCTTAGAGTGACTACGTCATTTATTATTTATCAGTTCGAAGCTCTGGGAATTTACATTTTCGTGCTCGCGACTATTTCTCTGCGTAACTAGACAAAGATTTAGTGGAGAAAGTGAATAGCTCGATATTAGCCCATTTAGTCATAGTGCCAGTATAAACCAATCCTTTCCAGTTATTTATCGGGTCAGTTATTTTTTCGCCAAACTTTGTCAAAGTCCTTCAAACAGCTGAAGCAGTAGCTATCCGTATTAAGAAACCTGAGCTATGTGTACAAAAGGAATATCTTCAACAGGGTTCTCCTCACCTGGTCAACCTCAAGGCCAATTAATCAATTGTAATCTTGGCTATTAAATGACCTAATTTGACTACTGTACTTATAACCTTTTGTAGTCATATATAACTGTCCCTGTTATCTTTATTCACATATCTTTGTATTATTATTATTATTGTTATTAAAACAACATTAATATTAATCTCCCTAATGTATAATTCGTTTACTTCGCATTCATCCCACTTGATTATGTCTTATCAATTTTTAGACATTATCGTCTTCCACTAAACACTTTACCGAATTTGTAATTGTATCATTATTACTCTCATCCAATCTGACTCATATTTATTCGGATCATGAATCTTAAATTTTCACTTAACATATAAGCTGGTTCAAGTTAACATTCCATATGAATCATATCAACATTAACAACTTTATTTTGTCAGAATGGAGTTTTGTGGATATTGTAGTAACTCTTAATAGTTGAATTCATGAGTCGATTAAAGCTAGACCACCATGGAAAAACCTGGAGGCACTAGTTTAACAATCCCAAATTCACATGCTATAACGTTAAACGATTCATTTTACCCTAAACATGACCATTTTTCGGATTATTAATTTGGATTTATAATTGTAGAACCTGAAGAGAATTTATCGAAAAGCATATTCTTCTTTCATATATTAGTCTTTTAATATGATGGGGATCTTTAAACAATTGAAATGCATACTTCTAGAAAAAATCGTTAAGATCAAATTACTGATATTTTATCTCAGTTAACTCGATCTCAAAAGTGTTGCAATGTGTTGTTTAGGCTATTTAGGCTGTATATGACTGATAAGCTCATTGTACATGATTGAATGAAGTAATTGTTGTAAATGAGAATGGTAAATGTAGCCTCATCTTTTTTTCCATTCAATATTAATATTTAGAAAAATGAAATAAACTTATTGTGTCAGTGAAGAAGAAATAAAGACAATTAGGAGAAGAAACTTTTCTTGTCAATGATGACACTTTCTTTAGTTATAAAATTGTATTCACAGTTAATCTTTTTTCATTCATGAAATACTCTTCAATGTTGTTATCGATTAACACATGTACAATTAACTGTTCATACGACTGTGCAACTTAAGAAAATGACATCATCTAAGTGGAATTCTTTTTGTTTAATTGTCTGTATTTCATCACATTATTACATTTTTATGAGATACCTTTTTTTCAGAAGCTGTTCTAAAATTTCGGTTCAATATAAGTACATTGAAACAGCTTAAAAATTATATCCTTGATAACAGAAATTTTTGACGTTAAAATTTTGTTTTAATAATCTGTTATAACTTGTACCCTGTGTGCTCTGTTAATGTATACGTAGTGATACCGCCAATTAGAGAGCAGTGAATTATTGATCGGATTAACGACGCATAAAACCCGTGCGAGCAGTCTAGAGTCCTTATCGTTCCTGCTTCCTGCCTAGCCCAGCAAATTAAGTACAGAAAACCAATCCCAGCCTCTGCAATATGAATTATTTATTTCAAACATACTGAGTTTATATACCAACCGGACAGACCACATCGTACCATAAAATAGAAAACAACATTTGTACAAGAATTAGCCAAATATGGCTGTGAATAAGGGAGACAGTAATTGATAGACAAGGCATAACTCAAGAATGATAAATCGTATAGTAATAGTTCATAGGTCAAAATAAAGCTCATAATAAGAGGAACATGAATATGTATAGTTTAGTTACTTATCAGTTATACGATAAAAATATACGCATAGTATTGGTCCATAAATGGATCCCTAAAGTTACCATTCATTATGCTTATCGGGACATAACATAATCATTTAATTCCAATGACAATATTTCAAACTTTGATGATTCCATTATTAATAATGACAATGTTATAAAAATGAGAATTCGTTCCTGAAGTATGGATGTGAAATAAAGTGCAACTATTTTAAAGAGGAAGAATGTATTTGTAAAATCCCAGCGAAAGAATTTGAAGTAAATTCAAAGTTTCACCTGGCAATCTGGTCCAAGCTGTTTTATTCATAATCACAACTTTTCATTTTGATTTACCTATCTTTTATTGTTCTGTCTGAGATAAAAATTAAACCTGTAGATTA